CATAAAAAATATCACCATTTTAACTTTAAAAAAAAGTAAAATACACCTTTTCATGAATGGGTAAGGTGGTATGTATGTAAAAATTAAAGCTTAGGTGCTCGATATGTAAATCCATAGGAATTGAGTGGTATGAATGTAATTCTTCCAAAATTTTGTGAAGATGTGCTCGTAGAGCAAAGGTAATTATGTATATATGCTGCATATGGAGAAACATGATGAAACGTTAGAAAGTGTTTATCAATCAGAACAATAACTGACGAAGATAGCTTATTTGCTCATAGGATTGCTGAAAATTTACAGCAAATTGAATCTCTCTGAACAATATTATTCTACCTTTCAAACCACGTTTACTAGTTGCTATTCAATATTTTAATTGTTACGGATCTTCTACTTATCTAAAAATTAGAAAGTGTATTAAATTTGACAATTTAACTTGGCTAAAAACATCACCACTAAAATCATAAAAAAAATGGTTTCCTAAATCCCAGAAAAATGGGCAGTTTATACTTAACGAATTGGACTTTTACACTTAAGTTGAAGCTTTAGTTTTACTACAAAAAAGAAGATAACATCTCACAAACCCTAATATATAGAAACCCACATATCCTTTTATGTTTAAACTTATCTTGGATTCTGAATAAAGACTCAGCATTTTAAGATTTGACCCAAGGGCTACTTAATCACAAAGCTAGTTTTGTTCTAGTGCCCCAAACAATGACCCCAACATAATAACTCAACGGTACAAAATTCTTAGTTCAAAGAACTCGCCACTGGACCATTCAAATTCCTTCTCTTAGTCTTGACACGTTCAAGAAACACAGTATCACACCATGTTTATATTCATCAATTTAAAGATTAATCTCTCATTTTTTACATACCCAAACAAACTCATCACATGGAATCTTGTTGATCAAGAATTCTCTAAAAATTCTCTATTATTCATAGTACGCCATAAAAACTCACCAAGGGAAAAAATTATTAATCCAACATCTTATAATATCCCATTTTCGTTAACAATATACACAATAAATTCGGTTTTGGAATTTTTACAACTAAAAAATTATCTACAAACTTGGGATTTGCCAATGCAATAATGGCAGTGCAAACTCTTCTAATACAACTCACATTTAATCAGCTATATCATTTTTTTAAGTATTCAACAATTATTGACCAACCTCAAAAAGGTAGGTAAATGGGAGTTCAATAGTTCAGCATCTCTTTTTGAACATCTTTCGATTAGTCATTTCAATTCAATGGACTATTTTTATCAATAAAAATACCAACAGGCATCATTATTCATTTACAAATTCAACATTAACATGCAATTACATTAGTTTTTCTTATCCATTAAATGATTCATACAACTCCTGGAAGGTCAAAAGATGTCTTAAAATAATACTAAATAAAGAAAAAGACTCCCTCTTTGTGACGAAGATTTGTATTAAGTAGAATATATTATAACTAGCAACATTATATAATTACCCCGTGAAAACTAAAATATGACGAAATGTGGGGCTCATCCAAAACGAGAAATTAAAAGCCAGGGACATCAAAGAAAAAAGAATTATAAGCCTTAACTGATTAAAAAACATATTGAACTCATGAAACTCTCTTATATCAACAAAAAATTCAAAATCAAATGAGTTGGCATCAAGAAAAGATCATAATTTGAAATCTATAGTTCTAAAGTTACATATTTTCATTTCATTTCCAGAGGATAAAAAGGTAGAAGTGTGTGATATCTTTGTCATTCAAAATATGAAAATTTAAGATACAATATACAAATTAAGTATCACTCTTGGAGGGGTGTCCACGATATACCTAATGACGAGATGAGTGCTCATTGTCTTCATAATCAGCCCTTTTCTCGCACTTCAAGTATATGTCAGCAATTTCATAAAATAGGCTCAGATTATGCCATACGAGATTCATTACATTCTAATTCATGAAAACATCAAATGGAACATGATGCCTTATGGAATTTACTCATCACATCTTCCCAGTACTTGACAAAATCAATGAATTCACCTAATTCAGGTTGCTAAGAAGTGTTGCTTAGTCCAATTCCAACATCTTCAACGACACCTTGGCAATTTAAAGTTGTGTCAAATAGAAAGATTGGGCCAACTTCCTCCTAGACGATTTTGATTAAGGAGGAGAAGACTCTAAAAAGTGTACTCTATTTGGTAACTCAGTGGCCCTATGTTCAAAGGAAGATTTGATATCCGTCATCACATCAAAAGTACTTTCTTTATGTTTTTTCAAGTCCTCACATAATTTCCTTAAAACTTCCTGAAGTTTGCTCTTGTGATACAAATTCTTTCAAAGTTTGATTCTTCTAGCTGAATTGATCCAGCTCACAAATAAGTTTCTTGTTCTTCTCTATCACACGCTTGTGTTTGTTAGAAAGACAGTACTCTGCCATCTCAACATCAATTATCGCATGGCCAAATATGCAACTCGTAAGGCAACATTATTCACAAATGTCCGTGGATATATTTTGAGAATATGAAGAGTCTAAAATGAAATTTTAACAAAGCTTATTTCTTGTCAATAATTGATCAACCTTCACACAATAAACCTCTCTTCACCATCCCAACAAGCGACTGGCCATTCACCTTCATCCTTACAACTCAGCTTAAGCCTTATAAGCAGATGACTGCAAGCTACCTTCTTTTTCCCATTTACAACCCTACTCAATTTCGGCATCTGAACTTTAGTTAGTTTCTCGCTCAAAGAAATTGATGTGATATTTGTTGTTGAAGTTGAGGCCTCATCTGGAGCTTCTTGGCATAGGTTTGGTCCGGTCACAGGTAAATCTTCCTCATCCTCGCTTATGACTACTCGTTGCTTTTTCTTAGTGACGATGACTTGGCAACATTCTCTGATACACCCATTAAATAATGACTTAAGTCAACATCAATTTGACCCAACTTGGCAATACACAAATATCAAGAATGTCACCTAAAATATTAAAAACTAAAATCACACACAATGGATAAGTTTCTAAGATAAATCGACATTGTAAAAAGGTGAAAA